TTGCAGGGTAAGGTGCGCCAAGTGATGGGGAGTCAGGCCTAGGTAGTCCGAGGTCGTCAATCGACCGGATGGTGCCGGAATCAACAGAAGAAATGTGCGTTGTCGCACTGTTCGCGACAGATTTGTTTTCTGGTTTAAATTCAGCATGATGGAGAGATGTTTGGACAAAATTGGTGACATGGGAAGGGTCGTCCGGGGGTGGGTTAGTGACCAGTGGTTGGCTCCGGCCAAGTTGGTGGCCGAAAATAGAGAAACCGGCAGTTTGCACATTTTTTGGTAGTGAACTTTGATTCGCGATTCCGACTAGATTACTTTGGAGTTAGGGGCAACTGTTTGGTGGTAATTGAAGAGGAGGTTATGCTCTTTCCACAGGTATCAATATCCGGTGGTTTAGATGGAGGTAGTGGAGGAGGCTCAGGGAGTGATAGGAGGAGAAGGGGGAGAGGTTTTTTTCTTTTTATTTTTTATTTTTTATTTTTAATATTTTCATAAGTTTTGGACTTATTTGCATTTTAAAAAGGTTTAAGAGCAAATTGTAATTTATTCTTTATTTTTCTTTTCTTTTCTTTTTTTGTTTTATTTCAATTGGGGGGTAGATAGGTGATTTTATGTGAAAAATTAGGGAAAATAACGTTTTGCGGAAAAAAAGTGAAAGGTAGGGATGTTCTGCGTCAAGAAACGAAAGGTAGGGACATTTTTTACAAAGACAGGCAAAGGTAGGAACGTTTTGCGCCAATTACCCATATTTTAATCACCACCCCTGCCTCCTAAAAATCCGGAGCTTGTCGGGGATGCGTAGTGCCTATCCTACCCGCTCCATTGGCATCCTACATTCTTTGTGTCAAATCACACCTTTTTTGTGGTTGAAAATGAAGGAAAAGTTATTGATGTGATGGAAAATATTATTTTATTGATGAATGTGTGGTTGAAAATTAGTAGAAGAATGAGAATGAAAAAAAGAATGAATACCAAACAGAGGCTAAATAAAAAAAAACTAAAACCAAAGAAAAGACAAATTGAAAACAAACTTAAAAGTTCCATTCTCTCCCAAATCTATATCCACAAAACCTATACCCACAAAATCCATTTCTCCCAAATCGAAATCCACACGGTCGGTACTCTCACGTTGCCTCATCATCATGCTCGTCTTGCACGTCATCCATACTCTACAAATTAAATAACAATAAAATCAACTTCAACAAAATTTTAAATGACTAATCAAAGACATCTCTCAAATAGAGTACAATTTTTTTCACAACAAACAATTAATATATTATCAATATTTGCTCATAAAAATAAAGAGGTGAAACCAAAACTTCAAACCTTAAATAAAAACCTTGGATGGCCGTTAGTGAAATTAACCCATTGATAAATATAGGAAGAATAGAATACCATGTAGAGGTAATTAATAAGGCTACTTTATTAACCACATCTAAGACAATCTACCTCGTAATATTACCCGGGTTCAAAGGTCCGAATACCCGTAAAAAAAAGAAAAGAAAGTAACTTCTTCAAGTTCCTGATTTTTAGGGGCAGCTTTATTATTTTCTCTCCATAGCTATATTCTATAAACTATAAATATGAGTGAAAAAATAATAATAACTTCTTCCAGTTCCAGATATTTAGGGGCAGTTTTATTATTTCTTCTCCATGGTTGTATTCTATAAACTATAAATATGAGTGGAAAAAATTAAACCAAAATTTCGAAAATGTTAAGAAGATCAATTTTTACTTATTAACACCTCGGCAATGTGTGAAGAACTATTAACACCTTGGCAGGGAGAGTGAAGAATTTGGGACTATATGATTTTTCATCTACAGGGAAAACTGTGGGAAAAATAGAAAATAATTGAGGAGATAAATTTTCTAGTCCGCACTTGCTTAGCTTCCCTCCAAAAAACTAATGTTACGGAGGAATAGTTGGAGTGTTATAATTGTGGTCTCAATAAATCATTTTCTCCCTCCAAAAACTCAAGTCATGTTGGATTTTTCAAACCCCCGTTTTTCAACCTGGATTTAAGCGTGAGTAGCTTTATTGTATAATTTATTAACGTTCATTTTTTTATTTTTTTTATTTTACGTAAATTGATTAACATGAATACTATGCACAAATACAAAGTTATTTAATCATGAAATAAACATTCCTCTTGATGATGAAATGAACGAATACCAAAAAATTGTAAAAAAAGAAAATAATCATAATTTTCAACTTATTTATACATTATTTTTCAGAAAATATCCCTTATATAGGTTTTAAAAATAAATGAAGGTTTTCAAGTAATTTCAAATTGTCTAAATTCAACAAAAATTATTTGATTTCAACTTTTATTGGGTCGAACCCCAAACCGACCAATTCAACGCAAACCAACCCAAATTTGATCAGTTTGGGTTGAGTTAGGTTGGGTTCAAGCCAATAATTGGGTTAGATTGATTTGATTTTAAATCAAACCGACCATATTAGGTTAGACTTTGGTTGAGTTGGGTAAGAAAAAAAACAATCCAACCCACGCCCACCACTAAATTGGGGAATATGATCCTCTTTCAAAATCCGCACATACCTTCATTATTTCTTTACCGTAATTGAAATTTACTTGATTTTTAAATTAACAATATTAAAAAAAGGTAAATGCGGCGTGAATATTTTAAGGGTAATTGGCGCAAAACGTCCCTACCTTTGCCTATCTTTGTGAAAAACGTTCATACCTTTCGTTTCTTGACGCAGAACGTCCCTACCTTTCACTTTTTTTGCGCAAAACGTAATTTTCCCTAATTTTTAATGTAAAATGACCGATATACCCTCCAATTTAAATAAAAAAAGAAAAATAAAAGAAAAATAAAAAATAAATTGCAATCTGCTCCTAGACTTTTTTAAAAAGGCAAATCAGTCCAAAACTTATGAAAATATTAAAAATAACAAAAACACACACTCTCTCTTCTCCTCCACCTCCCTCCACCACCTCCACCCCGTCGTCGCGGCCAAAATTTGGACTAACCATCAAATTGGGGACTGATATTTGGCCATCTGTCCATCTCCCATCCTTCTCTCCCTCCCACCACGCTCCATTGATCTTATGTTTTTTCCAAAATTCTTTGTACCTCACCATCCCCCTGTCTT